CGACGTCATGAAAAAGACGTTGTGATATGGATGTCGTTTCAACGTCAATAAAAAGACGTCGGGCGACGTCATAAGACATTGCTGATAAAAACTACATACAAACCCAGTGTTTTGTGTGCAATTGCGCTAGTTTAAATAATGGTTGATAAAACATCATGAGGTTTTGTATGATGCAATTGCAGAGTTTAAAAACTGTTAGCATTTTTGAGTATATATTTTTTATAAAATATAACCGTTCGTTTTAATATTTATGTAATATTAAAACAAAATTATTTCTTATCAAAGTAATAATTCCGAAATAGCTATAAGTATATATTACTAAATAATCACATTATATAATATGTCGCCGTGGTGTAGTAGTAAGCGCGTAGGATTTGGAATCTAATAGACCAAGGTTCGATTCCTGCCTATGGCATCATTTTTTAGTTTACAAAAAACACGTTGGATTAACATCGGAATGCCGACGTCTCACAATGTTAGTTTATCCGACGTCAAATAACATTTCCATTTCCAACGTAAACCCAACGTCGATTCGACGTCGAGATCCGACGTCGCTCGACGTTTGTTCGACGTCGAAATGCCCACTTGGCAGTTTATTTATCCATTGTAGTGAAAACTGCATTTGATCCAATTTTTAAGGATTTACGTAGCAATGATCTTTTGGGTCGTTGTTTAGATGGATCTACTCAAAATCTAAATGAGGCTCTGAATCAAATTGTGTGAAAAAGATGTCCGAAAGATACTTTTGTTTTAAAAACCACTTTAGAAATTGGAGTTGCATCTGCAATGATTAGTTCTAATGATGTCATATCTGGACTTGTACGACTTTTTAATAAAACTAACTTGTCTTTTGGAACAAAAACAATTATAGGTTCAATCAAAAAAGACACACTTCGGATTCAAAATATGAATATAAAATCAACCAAAAAGAGTATGGAAAGAAGCAAATTGATTAGAGCAAAGAGAAAAGGTTGTTTGGACTAGAAGGAGAGGAATCATACCAACTTGGAAATTTTTGAGATTTTTTTTTTATGTATTGTTTTCTTGGTTTTCCGAAATTTTGTTGTAGGTTTACGAAAACATAGATTTTGGAAGATCTATTTGAGCTTTTATCTTGAAACTTTTAACAGTTGTTTAACTTATAGAGCACTAGTGCCTGAAGCAGAATAAAGCTAAGCACACAAGTACTTAATGAGTAATCAGTCACTAAGCATTGCACTATTTATCTAAAAAAATTAAAATTAAAAGAATCTCCGCCATTTGGAACGGTTGATCAATTTTTAAAAATTTTGCTTTAGGCACTAGATAATTATAAATTCTTTTACTGTAGCGAATTTCATACTGATACTCGTTATAGATCTCTTAATAACCATGTTTTGTTTTTTAGCTTATTTTTAAAATTTTTGCTGACTCATCAAAAAATAGTTGATATTTTGAAGATTTTTTTTGTTTTTAATATTTATTTTTATGATGACTGTTACATGTACTATTTTCAGTTTAAAAAAATTAATGTTAAACATTCTAGTTTTTTTTATCAGCTTATAACCTTAATAAATTTAATTACATAGTAAATTAGGAAGTAACGCATTTAAAGTTACGTCATTCCTTTAAAATATAAACAAAAATCTTACGCATGTAAATACAAATTTTGCTGCTAAACCTGCTAAGATTGAAGACCTATTTGCTATTAAGCTATTAGTACAAAAAATAATATTTTTGATTTTTATGTGCATTAAGGGTTGAAATTTCAATAATTTAGTAGGCATTACAAAAATAGAACGTTTATAATATAAATGCTAAAAAAATTTTTTATCAATGCCCACCGAAAATCCGATAAAGTAGGCATTCGTTTATAAATATATAAAGTTTCAAATTTTTTTACATTTTTTTAATTTGAAGATGAAAGGGTTTATAGAAAAAAAAATACTAATATTTTAAAGTTGGTGAATTTTTATACTTTTTATGCGGAAATACCTTCTTTTTTTTTAAACACAAAAATTCTTGTGACGTCAGGCTCACTTTTATATTGAGTGAAACAGCCGCGAAGGGTTAAACGTCCATTAATTAATACATCCTTGATTTCTTCAATAAAATAGTCTGGAAATTAGGCAAGTCGATTTCAACATGATGCGGGACAAACAAGACATTCTGTTTGTATTTTTTTGCCGATATCTAATATTATGTTCATTTAATGTTTTGCATTAAAACAACAAAAATAGCAAATATTAATATTTACATGCTGTAGATTTAAATTTATTATACTGTATTTACTTACTTTTTATTTTAATAATTGAAATGTTTAGTTGTTATTCAATATAGAATTATGTTTTACAATTTGTTAACTTATATTTAAATATAATAAACATTTAATCAAGTTGAAGCAAATAATTGCCTGATGTTTATATTTACTATATTGTAATTTATAATCTTTTTGTATTGCATATGCAATTGTAAAGTAATAAAGTAAGTAGTATATAAATTATATAGTGAGTAGATTATAGCATATACGTTATATATATATATATATATATATATATATATATATATATATATATATATATATATATATATATATATATATATATATATATATATATATATATATATATATGTATATATATATATATATATATATATATATATATATATATATATATATATATATATATATATATATATATATTTAGAAAGTGAAATATGGTTAAAAAATATAAAAAAAACTGATCGTGGCAATTTCTTTGAGCAGAGGATGTTATTAGCAATCGACTCCGTAAAATTAAAGGAAATGTCACTGAGAAAAGTAGCTTTGATAATTAGTGTAAATAAAGATGCTTTAAAATTTAGAATCTTGTATAATATTCATATAAGATCACTTGGTTTATTTAAAAAAGTATTGCCAGATGATACTGAAAATCAATAGTTGCCAGATAATATTGAAAATCAATAGTTGGCTACATTAAAGAAATGGAATCAGTTTATAATGGATTGTCGATAAGTGACATTTAGCAAATTTGACTTTCATTTATTCTGACATTTCATTCGGTTTTTCATTCAGTCTGACATTCAACAATATTGTCTTTAAGTGTGTAAAAAGTATAACATAGTTCACCCATTTAATTAATATAATGGTGTTGCAGGATAAGATAGTGTAAGTGGATATTTGAAGAGACATCTAGACCTTTCAATAAGAAAGCCTGAGGGGTTATCTTTAAATTGTATTTATGGTTTAAATCGTATTTCTGTGAAAATTAATTTCAATAATATAAAAATTGTTTTAAAAAAATATAAGTTTAAAGCTCGTCAAATTTTTAACTGCGATGGACCAGGCATTACAACTGTACATAAATCTGTTAAAGTTATTACAAAAAAAAGGGAAACATTGTATTTCTTCTGTACCAAGTGTTGAACGGGGTGTAACAAAAACCGTTGATTGTGCTGAATGTAACTTGATTTTTTGTTCCACCAATGATGATTTTTAAGAGAAAGTGAATGAAGTTAGAACTAATCGGCAATGCTCTCACTGGAAAAATTGGAGGGTGCTCTAAAAATGGATGGATTACAACTCATCTGTTCATGGAGTATATAAAACACTTTACGAAGTACACTAGAGCTTCTATAGAAAATAAAATTCTTTTAATTTTAGGTGGGCACAAAACTCATACAAAAACCATTAATTTGTTGGATTTTGCAAAGGAAAATGGAATAGTTATTATAACCTTACCACCTCATACTTCTCATAAATTGCAGCCACTTAATCGAAACTTTTTTAAACCGATAAAAATCTTTTATAATATAGAATGTGGATCATGGTTGCGTGAGCATCCTGGAAGAAAAATAACAACTGATCAACTTGAAGGTAAATTCTCCAAAGCCTATAATAAGGCTGCCTCTGTAGAAATTGCCTGTTCTGGCTTATGTACATCTGGAATTTGTCCTTTTTTTCCGGATATAATTCCAGACACACAGTTTTATGATGACAATAGATCTAATACCATCTTACATAAACCTGATAAAATCGAATCACTAGTTAATTCGAGCATCTTATTACCATTACCCTCGAGATCTTCAGAAAATATTAACTTTAATATAACACCATGCTTTTCTAATATTGTACCATTTCCAAAGATCATTTTACCACCAAAAAAAGGAGAAGAATCACAGATAACAACAACATCACATTACAGAAAATCACTATTTAATTCCTCTGAAAAATGAAAAAAGTTAAAAGAACAAAAAAAAAGAAAATAAAAGTGCATTAGGAAAAGGTAAAGAAAAAGTTAAAGATTTAAGTGTTGAAGACTGGGATTGTTATGTTTTGCAATGGTTTATGGAGTAAGGCTGCAAAAGGAGAAAAGTAGAGTCAATGTTCAAAATGCACAACTTGGGCTCATTCGGACTGTTGCTCGTTTCAAAATACTGGTCAAACAATATGTGATTTATGTGACTAGCAACAGTTTGATTATAGCTGCAACATATTATAAAATGTATTTCTTGCTAATCCTCTTAAAGACCTGTTTTGTTTAACTTTATTTAAATTAATAAAAATAAAAATCTGTCTTAGATTGCCCCGCTATGCGGGGCAAAATGAGACAGGATAGGTGCTGCCAATAAATGATCTCTGGTGACCAAACCATTGCAGTTTTGCAACTCATATTTTGTAAGCTTCATGTCGAATAGTAAAATATTTGAAAATTATTAAGTTATTTTTTCAAAAGTTGTTAAAGAGGCCGTATTAGATAAATTAGTGCTTAACTGTCTCATTTTGCCCCTCGTTGCGCTACAACTTTCCAATTTTTTAAAAACGCTGTTTAAAATTTATTCCTGGCTAACAACTCTGGTTGCCTCAAGTAAGTTTTTCATTTGAGGAGATCATATTCCTTAAAAAAGTTGTTATCATTATCATCATTATCATCATCATTATTATCATCATCTCCATTGTCATCATCATTTATAATTAGTTTATATAATGTATTCACCAAAATAAAATGGAAAAAACTAACTTTGAGATTTTCTTCCAGCCACACGAAAATCATGAGTACGTTCTTTTTTAGTTATTTTATTTGAAAACTTTACTTCAACTTCGAGATAAAATAATTTTTTATCATCGTGCAAACTTTTATCCAATTTGTAAACTTGAAAGTTATCTACCTCGTATACAGAATCCAAATCTAAGGTTATGAGAACCTACATGCAAAAGAATTTTAAAATTTTAAAATTTTTGCATTAACAACATTTTAGCTGGGTACAATTTTATGACTATAATTAAATACTTTGTCAATGTTTAGTTAATGAAAAATACATATTTAATAGAAAAAGTTTAAAACACAAATAAAACTATAAACATGCTCAAAATAACAAAGACGAAGATAAACAAAGAAATGGATATAAAAAAAAATTAATGTAAAATAAAAAAAAAATTATGCTGAATAAAATTTATAAAAGAATAAAAATAGTTAAAAAAAAATTTAAAAAAATTTAAAATAAAAATTGTTAGAGGTGATTATTCAGTAGACTAAAATATAAAAAATAACTAATAAATTAATTCAACTTATTTTAATTAAATGATGACTTGACTATATCAACTTGAGTTAATTTAAATTGACTAATCAACAGAAAGAACTGAAAGATTTATTTTACGCTTTTAATGCATTTTCTTGTTATCAAGAGAACACAATTGCATGGGAGAAACAGTACACAAGATTTCAATTCTTATTTATTAATTACTTAAGTAAATTATTATCAATTATGACATTAGTGCTATTTATGCATTTAAGTAAAACGTAAAGATGACTAAGCTGGTCACCAACCGTCCTACTTTTGGAAGGACAGGCTTCATTTTTTAAGTTCTCACCTACCTTGATAAGTGTCCTTTTTTTGTCTCTCATTTCAATATCTTAAAACTAATTTTGATATTTTAAAACTAATCAAAGATAAATTGTTTGATATGAGTGATTTGATACTAGTTGTAGCCAGTTGATAGTAGTTGGAGCCATTTGTTCTCTTGTTTTAACTCGATTCTCGGCTCAAATGTGGATATCACAGTTTCTCTTCACTGTTTAAATCTTATTTTAATGTTAAGCGTAAATCAGTTACCCAGTATTAAGTGTTTTCTTTAAATACTAACTAAAGTTTTACTCAGCAATAGGAATGTTTTGTTCTTAAATTCATAATTTTATTCATGCAAAACATATATTTTTGAAAAAAAAAAACATCTTTGCTTCCAACAAAGCTGCAACCAATCACTAGTATTTTATTTTATTTAGATGCCCCAAAAAGTCCTTACGGTCTTATCATGGAGCATTGCGAATGAACATTTAATTGGAAGTTCACATATCCTTGCTAACCGATGTCGCAAACCTTGCCCAGAGGTGAGGCTCCACCCACGAATCCTATGTTTCTGAGGCAAGTGTGCTACCACCACACCACGGCTGTTTAAACGAACAACTATTAGAGTTGGAAGTTACTGGAAGAGAAAAGATGAAGAATGTAGAGCAAGGTAACAACTGACAGAAAACTTGAAAGGTTGCAAATTATATGAATTAGAAAAGAAAGATAAATGAAGCGAATTCCAAAGAATTGATGTTCGAGGAAAAACACTAGAGAGATAAAGGTTTTTGGATCACTTAGAAACAGTGACAGAAAAAGAATAAGACTTAAGTGAATGAAGAGAATGGATTTTTGAAGATGCCACAAGAGACTCTAGCTCTTTAGAGCAGTGCCCATTGTAGTATTTGTATGAAAAAAAAGAGAAGCAACTATGCGACAAATAAAAAATGGTTAGAGATTGGCTGCAAAAGCAGGTCCAACTATGTTTACAATGTGCTTTTGTACCTTGTCTAAAAAAGAAAGGCCATCATTAGAAAGTTTGCCCGATATATATGCAACATTATTCCATACAAGGCCGAACTTGAGATTTAGAGTGATAGAGAATAGAATCCGGAGAAAGAATTTGCCAAGCTCAATAAAGAGATGCAGCCTTAGCAGATGCTAATTTTGCAACTGATTTGATATATGGTTTCCAAGAAAGATCAAAATTAAGAGTTAATCCTAGAAGATGAAGGGTAGGTGACTCATTGAATACAATACCGTTCATAAATTTCAGAAGATCGAAATTATTGCGATAAGGATTGGCTAAAAAAAATTGAATCTGAACTAAATTTCACCTGCAACTGTGAGCCAAATGATCTAGCAGGAATAAGATCCTTTTCAAGCTCAAATGCCCTCTCCAAACAATTAGACAACGTTGACTTTTTATCATGACAAGAACATATGTTGGTATCATCAGCGAACAATGCCACCTTGGATGTACGAATATCTGGAAGATAGTTATTGTAAATTAAAAAGAGTATAGGGCCAAGGATTTAACTTTGAGGAACCACAGAAGTTAAAGAATATGAAGGAGAATGCTGTCCGTTGAAGACAATTTTTACTCTACGATTGGAAAAGAAAAACTTCATAATCTTTAAGATGTTACCGGAAACACCGTAAGAAGAATGCTTATGGAGAAGACCAGCATGACAAACTTTATCAAAAGTTTAAGAATTTTCAAGAGCAATAACTTTAACCCTTCCACCTTTATCTAATGCACAGTAAAACCTATCAGTTATAACTGTTAGGAAATTAGCTGTAGAACGAGAAGATTGAAGTTCATAATGATAATCAAAAAGTTACTTATTAGATTCAAGATGAGAGAATAAGTGTTTATTAGTTAAAGATTCAAAAACCTTGATTATGAAAGGAAAAAGACTAATGGAATGGTAGTTAAACGAACCAGATCGATCTCCAGAATTTTTGAAAAAAGGGATAACAAATGTCATTTTCCAGCAGGCTAGAAAACAAGACTCTGATAAGCACTTGTTAAACTATTTTGAAAGAATAGACGACAGCTCCGGAGAAAACTTCTGCAAGACTATATCAGGTATGCTGTCTGGCCGATGTAGAAGAGTCTGCACAGGAAATCACTTAATTCAGAAACTGGAGTAATACGAATGTCAAGCAATGGGTCAACCTGTTTGACGACAACATTAGGTTGAACGCAACTAGTGGAATCAAGAGAATATGTTGATGAAAAGTTCTTAGTAAAGAAATCAGCTTTGTTTTTAGGTGAGGTGACAAAGTCTGAACCATACAAGAGTGGTTGAATAACTGATTTGCCCTTATTGTTGGTACTTTTTTACTTATTTTATCGTTTATTTTATTGTTATTTTATTATTTATTTTATTGTTTTTATTCACTTAAGGAATGGAAAAATCAAACAAAACTAAATGTCATATTATTCATCATTCAGGGTAAAGTGACCTAATTCAAGCCAGTGACTAAAATCCAGCCTTATTTTAAATTTAATATTTCTGTCTTGGTTTCTATTTTATTCTTGTAAATGCAACTTTTTGAGACTGGTATGAAGTCAGCCAATAGAATAAAAAAAAAAAAACATTGTTTTAGATGACGGGTGTTTATAATAGAAGTATTATGATGACAAATATTTATCTCATAAAGTACTACTTTAGATTTAAAATATCATGTAAGCATCCAGTTGGAAGCTAATAAACATTAAATATTTAAATCTTAACAAAACGTTATTTATTTTATAAAATATAAATATATATTTTTTATAAATGAAAATTTTGGCTTTATAATTATGCTAAGTTATTTCTATAGATTATTTTTTTAAAATAAATGCACCTAGTAAAAAGACCAAAATCCGGCCAGCTATAAATACTATTCCGGCAAAAGCCGAAATTAGGTTCACGAGTGTCTAAAAGTAACATAAACTTGTAAGATATTTATATTAATAGATTTTATTCTTTTAATGTAAGTACTTTATGTTAAATGTATGTCTTAAAAGTTATCAATCTTAAATATATGCATTAATTTTTTATATATTTATATAAAATTTTTATTATATGAGAATATATGACTTAAAACTAATAAAAGTTTAAAAAATTGAAAGGTAATTATTTAATGCAAATTATTGCCTCTAAATAAAATTATATTAAAAAATAATCTTTATTTGAAAATTTTAATAATTTATATATAAAGTTTTCATTTTAGAATGGCTAATATTGAAAAAAAAAATTATAATAAGAAACAATGTCATCCAACTTGAGAAAAATGTGTAAAATCAGAGATGGTATGGGTTTTGGTTTTGGAAAAAAATAGTTCAAGGTATACGCTCGCAAGCATGCCAAAAATATGGATATTCTTTTAAGAATGGCAAACTATATAATAAATGTTGGTGACTAATTAACAATCGACATAACAAAAAAGTAGCTCTTTGAATACCAGAATCAACAGCATCAGTCAGTCATCAATGCATGAATTTAATAAAGGTGATAAATTATTTTACCGCTTTTAAAAAAATTATTAAAGACTCTCAGCCTGAAATAATGTGGAGAATAAATAAAACAGGACTGCAGGTAGACATTAAGTCACACAAAATTGATGCTGCAGATAATACTAAATATTTACATATGAGAACCACTGGATGTTTGGAAATAATTACTTTAATTGTTTATGTGAGTGCAGCAGGAAGAGCCTTACCATTTAATAAGATTCCAAAAGGGAAGACATTGCAAATCTATGGTTTGAGTTTACATTTTTAAAAACATTAGAGCAACATTAAGACTACATGTTTCGACATCGTGTGAGAATCGTGGCCATCTACATAGATGGCTACGATTCCAACAGTTTTGTTGAGTTAATAGATATGGCTATTCAAAACCAAATCAAAATTGTTAAACTACCTGTTTATACGAGTGATTAGCTTCAACCTTGCAATCAAACAGTATTTAAGCCATTCAAAGTTTTATATAATAAAGCAGTCCAAGACATGATGTCCAACCACACTGGGGTTATTATAAATAAGGCTAATTTTACAGGACTTTCAACCAAAACCTGAAATTAAAATATGACAAAAGCTAATATTAAATCTAGCTTTAAATTATATGGAATCTTTCTATATAATCCTTTGATTATTCCGTCTAAAGCTTACTTGCAAAACTATGTGTATTTTGAAGATAAGTTAGTGACTAATCTCTTTGATCAAATTAAAACAATTGATAATACAACAACTGTCGAGCAGATTAATCAAACAACAGACAACAAAATAATGCTTTTACCAGACATCGATTTGGGATCATTTCTAGTTATCAACCCAAGATCTGTTATAGCAAATTATCATGACT